TCAAATTGAATTTATATTAAGTTTAAGTTACTAATACAATTCAAGTTTACTCGTAAATCGTTCCGGTCTAAAACATGGACTTTAATTTTTTATTTAAATTCGTTTATACATGTAAATAGACCATGATGTATATATGAGTGTACGATATGGTGCACGAATCGAGCGATCTCAGTGGTAAATGAATTAATTTTATTCCTTGAGGTCCTAGATTCGAGCATCAGAAATGTTATGAGTGTGAGTGTTCAATGTCAAATGGTTGAGAGTCGTCTTCGAACATATATTACATTATATTTATCACAGATTAATAAAAAAAATATGTGATATGGTGTGATAGTGATATAAAAGTAAGGAAGAAAGAATACAAACATGAATGGGGATGGAGATGGAGACAAGGCAAGGGCACAGCTTGGGTTAGAGATGCTTCCTTCTCCTAGGGTGTGACCTGTCCCTAACTCACCACCATGCCCTCCAAATCACCTCATAATCATTTGATGAATTCAACTAAATATTAAAATTAAATTTGGATGTTAACATGGACGAAGTCATGTAAGCCCTTGAGAGGGTTGACCATTAAAAAAATACAAGGATAATTATATATTTAGGCCTTTAAATTTTGATTTATTTTGATTTTACTCCTTCATTTTCTATTATTATTTATATTTTGCCTCCTAAAACTAAAATCTTGGCTCTGTCCCTGGATATTAAAATATATTTTTATATGATTTATTGTAAACTTTTATGAACATTACCTGAAATTTCCGGTCGAAAGTGGCGTTCTAGGGAAAAAAATATTTGAGGATTTAATTGTTTAAAGCAATGTATGTGGCATTAATCATAGGGGGTGGGCAGGTGTCGGTTCAATTAAGTTGTCTTGCAAATGCAGCTCATCATCATAGAATATTTTATTTATTTATCTGTCTATTTTATTATTTAAAGAAACGTGTCTATTTGATTTTCAATCCTTTAAGAATTGAGACAATAAATATTTTTAAAATGATTTTTAGGGACAATAAATGCTTTTTTGGTCATATTTATTTGTATTTGTGGACATACTTCCGCTTTATATGATACATAAATATATATATTCTTGTAAATACATTTGTTTAATCGCATTGCCTGGGTTGAATTATTGGTTCATGTGAGAATATGCATGAATGGAAGGTTCTTAGAAGTATCTTAACTATATAATAATTTGTATACTTTTCTTTAATTTCATACTACGAATATATACACGAACCGAACGACCTTAGTTGTAAATGAATTGTTATTATTCCTTGAGGTCTCGGGTTTGAGTACCAGAAATACTAGAGAAGTGAGCTTTCAATGTCAAATGATTAAAGTTATTTTTGATCATGCATGAATGATACAAAACATTTCATAAATGTTAAAAAAACATGTCTTAAAATTTACTTGACATAAATTATTGATGTATCAACATAATAATTTGGATATACCAATTATTATGTATTATACATTTGCATGTGATACATAGTTGACCAATGAGAAGAGAGGAGAGAGACGAGTTCACCCAAGGACCTAATAACGTTCACCAATCGTTGGATCCAACGTCCCATCTCCCTCCACGTGTCGAGAGGCCATAGAATCATGAACCTTGATCCAAGTGTCATACACATGCAGCCATACAATCTTAGCCCCCCACGGTTTATATTATTGAGGGTTTTGCTCTCCTCACTGTCTTCTTCTCCATCTCTCATCAATTTCCTCTCCAATTTGGTCGAAGAAGGAGAATTTGAAACTGAAGATATATTATCAAAGGAGATAGAGAAAATAGAAGGGTTAAAGAGAGTTTTTTATTTTTTGGGTTTCAATGGCTAACATGCTTGGAACTGAGCTGTGCCTCGGATTGCCCGGTGGCGGTGGTGGAAACGAAGTCGACAGTTCTCCGAGAACGACCGGTAAACGAGGCTTCTCGGACACTGTCGACTTGAAGCTTAACCTTCGGGCTAAGGAAACCGACATGGATCTTAACAAGAACCTTGACAATGGTTCCGAAGAGAAACCAGTTTCAGCCAAAGATCCCGCTAAACCACCGGCCAAGTAAGTCATAATAACACCACCACCATAGCTTTTGTTTCTTCATGTATCAATTAGGGTTATATTTTGTGTCTGTCCCTTGAATAAGGTCTTGAGTTCGATCCTTTTGGTTGGAAGAAACTATTATATATCGACTCAAATTCTAATTGAACTCGACTGAGGTCCTTGTGACTTTTCAGGGCACAGATGGTGGGTTGGCCACCGGTTCGATCTTACCGGAAGAACTTTATGGCTAACAAGAGCACCGGCGAGGAAAGTGAGAAAGCTAGCAGCGTAGCGTTTGTGAAGGTGAGCATGGATGGTGCCCCATATCTTCGCAAGGTAGATTTGAAGATGTACAAGAGCTACCAAGAGCTGTCTGATGCCTTGGCCAAGATGTTCAGTTCTTTCACTATGAGTAAGCGTACACAAATTATCAATAAAAAATACAAAAAAAATACTTAAACGTACAAGAACATGTCGAGGGTCAAGTTGATATTTTATTTGTTTTTTCAAGGTAACTATGGATCTCAAGGAATGATAGACTTCATGAACGAGAGCAAGCTGATGGATCTTCTCAACAGTTCTGATTACGTCCCAAGCTATGAAGATAAAGATGGTGACTGGATGCTCGTGGGTGATGTCCCATGGCAGTAAGTTAAATTTCATCCACAAAAACTTGAACTCGTCCCCAAAACCTATACACACTCACTTCCAACATTTACTCGACAGGATGTTCGTCGATTCATGCAAACGCTTACGCATAATGAAAGGATTAGAAGCGATCGGTCTCGGTATAAATTCAAACTTCTACCATCATATGTATTCAAATAAAAATGAATAATCACGTAAAATATTATATACTTTTTGCAGCACCGAGAGCAATGGAGAAATGCAAGAGCAGAGCCTAAAATCAACATGCATTTGCTGCCTGCTGGAAACAAGATCCTGGGATTATGTTTAAGCATTTCTATTATATATATATATATATTTGGTATATATAGATATGATTAAAGAAGTGATGATGGGGGGATTTTTTTTTTTTTTTTGCTATTGTCATGGTTGTAATAGCTTGTTGTTCATGTGTTTTGTTCTTCCCCCACTCAGTTTTAATGCTAATGGTACTTGTTTTTTCTATCTTCCCAAATCAGAAAGATTCTTCATATCATGTATGATCCCATATATTTATGTTGTTGATTTTATTGATCTAATTATTGTGTTTAATATGGGGTTTTTGTATTAAATATAATGTTAATATTTGAATTGAAATTTTTTATTGGGATTTTGAGGATCAACATGATGGATTGGGGAACAGGACCATGTGAAAGGTGTTGGGGCATTCATTTATTGACATTAGTTTATATAATGATTTATATATTGAGTGATTCTTTTATGGGATCACTAACATTTATTTTTTATATATATATAATGATGTTATGTTAGAAGATAATAATTAAAAAGAATAAATAAAATCGTACGAACCAACTTACTTTAGTGGTTAAATGAATTCTTATTGTTCCTAAAGACCACGGGTTCGAGCAGCAGGGTGACTAAGCGTTCATTGTCAAATGGTTGAGAGTATTTAGAACATATACTATTTTATAATCACCTTAGCTTAATAAAATAAATAAATAAAATCAAACATAAGAATATATTAAAATGTTTGGGGTTTTCCCCAATAGGGTAAATGAGTAAGTTATTTGGGAAAATATGGTAAGTAAAAGTTTATTTTAGAATCTATATTATTTTCATGGTGTTAATGGAATTAGTCACTTTGATGTGACGAGTTTTAATAAAAAATATTTTTTATTTAAATTCGTCACGTCAGAGTGATGAATTTCAATAAAATATATTTTTTATTAAATTTTATCACATAGGGATAAAAGGTTTGAATAAAAATATATTTTATTAAAACTTGTTACTTTGACTTGACGAGTTTCAAGTCACTGTAGAAAAATATCGTATGTCCCTAAATAAGCTTCTATATGACATATTAGGCTAATTAATTAAATTGTTTGTCATATTAGGCCAAAAAACCCAAAATGTTGTATACTTCAACCAAACGGCCCAACAACTTAAGCCCAAAATTGGAGCTCAAATTAGGTAAATGAAAACATTTTATAAAGAAAATATATGTTTTAAAAAATTAATTATTAATTAGCAAATAGTTTTAGTAAGGGGTAAAGTACATATATGGTCCCTTGACTATATGATATTATTTTATTAAGTCTTTCGACTATTAAAAGTTACAAAATGATCCTCTAACTATAGAATGTTGCTTTATTAAGTCTCTCGACTATTAAAAGTTACAAAATGGTCACTAACTATTCATTATTATTCAAACCGTCCCTTTCTGTTAAAAATTGACAATTCTAAGCTTAACGTTAACATGATGACTGAGTTATGATATTCGTCTGCGATTTTGGGATCAAATTTTATCATATCACAATTAGCAAGTTAACGTTCACTTCAGAATACTGTCAAATTTTTAACGGACAAGAACGAGTTTTAAACATAATAAATAATTGGGTGACCCTTTTGTAACTTTTGATAGTCTAAAGACTCAATAAAGTAACACTATATAGTTAAATCATTTTGTAATTTTTAATAGTCGAAGAACTTAATAATGTAATACCCTATAATCGAGGAACCATTTTACGTACTTTACCCTTTTATTAATTAAATTAATTTTTAACTAATAATAAATTGATTTAATGAGATCATACATTAAACTTCTAAAGCAATATTAGAGATTAAAATCTTTCGTTTGTAAATGTAGGAAATCGAGTTAGAAATATCATCCTCATAATGGGTTTTTGTAAAATTTAATCTGAATTAATCGATTAATAGATTAAAAATTGATAATTAAAAAAATAGAAAATATTTTTTTATTAAAAAATAGGAAATAGAAGTTAGGGGAGGGAGAGTATAATAATAAAAAAATAATTAAAAAAGGGTTTGGGTATGTAGGTTGCTTAAGTCCAAAGCCAAAACCCATAAAAAATATGAATAATGAAAAATACATAATCGGCCGGCCGCCATCATTAACTTCCGATCAAGTTACCGAAACTCTGCATCGGACCCGGGTTTTTTCACTTTCCTCCCCATTTTCCCTCACTTTCTCTTCATCCAAGTAAACCCCGTCTCTTTCCACCAAGCTGAAAAATCAAAAAGTGAACTTTTTTTTCCTTCTCTCAAATGGATTTCAACGAACTAGAAGCAATCGAGGGCCTGCGATGGCCGTGGCACTCATGGCCCACATCGAAGCCCGACGCCGCTTCGTTGACGATCCCACTCTCCGTCATGTGCACGCCGTTGACGGAGTTCTCGGAGCTCCCGATCCTCCCTTACGAGCCTCTCGTTTGTTCCAAATGCGGCGCCGTTTTGAACCCCTACGCGCGCGTCGATTACGCTCACCGTATCTGGTTTTGCTCCTTCTGTTTCTCCAAAAACCGTTTCCCTCGAACCTACTCTTCTTCCCTAGAAGAATCCAACCTCCCGGCCGAGCTCTTCCCCAATTACAGCTCCGTTGAGTACGCAAAGACCGTTCATTCCGCTCCCAAGCCTATGAGGTCGTTGTTGTCGTCGTCGTCGTTGTCATCGATGACGTCTTCGATGTCCGGAGAGGTGGGGGGAAGAGGGCCGGCGTTTGTGTTCGTGGTTGATGGTTGTATGGAGGAAGAGGAGTTGAGAGCCGTTAAGAGTGAGCTGCGGCGCGTGGTGGAACAGTTGCCCGAGAATGCGTTGGTTGGCTTGGTTACATTTGATGCGATGGTGAATGTGTATGACCTCGGGTTTTCGGAGTGTTTGAGGGTTGTCGTGTTTCATGGTGACCGCGAGCTTTCTTCCCAGCAGGTAATGAGCTAAAAAAAAATATCAAGACCCTATTTTTATATATGTTGAATTATTAGTTTCAATTTGTTTTTTTATGGTATTCAATCATGCAATGTGATCAAGAATTATAAAGTTCTTGTTTGTGGGGAGAACTGTTTGGTTGCTTATAAAGTTATTGTTTTTGTTTTGGGCAAGATTTTCTTTCCAGATAAACCTGAAAGACGGGAATTTTTTAGTTTCTCATATGGTTATTTGGGGGCTAAATTGAAAAGAAGAGAATGGTGATTGTTTAAGAGTGGAGCTAAGGATTCCGGCACTGCTTTTTTCGGAATGCATGATTAATTTTGTTCATATGATGGGTTCAGGTACAAAAGTTTCTCGGAATCGGTGGTACGAATATGCAGCAACTTGGAAAGTGTCCTGCTATCCAAAAGCAGAGTTTTCTGCTGCCAATATCGGAATGTGAATTCAGTATAACGTCTGCAATAGAGGAAATCCGTTCCTCTGTGCAGGTGACACCAGGTCATCGGCCTCAAAGATCTACTGGAGCGGCAATAGCTACTGCACTCGGACTTTTGGAAGGATGCTTGGTTAACACGGGGTCCAGAATCATGGTCTTCACAGCTGGACCTGCTACTCGTGGCCCTGGGATTGTTGTAGAATCGGATCTTGCTATTGCAATTAGGAATCATAAGGATCTCGTAAACGGTCAGGCACCGTACTACCAGAAGTCTTGCGACTTTTATAAGAGATTATCGCAGAGGCTATGTGATTCATCTATTATTCTTGATTTGTTCGCTTGTTCTTTGGATCAAGTTGGAGCAGCGGAGCTTAAGGTCCCTATTGAGAGTTCGGGGGGATTCATGATTCTAGGGGAGTCTTTTGAATCCGATCAATTCAGAAAATGCATGCGTCATATATTTAGTCACAATGAAGAGGGGAATTTGAAGATGTATTTCGATGCAACCATCGAGATAGTGACTACTAAAGACTTAAAAATCTGCGGAGCCCTTGGACCTTGTGTTTCTCTTCGGAAGTTGAATACTTTGGTGTGCGAGAATGCAATCGGGGATGGTGGTACTTATATGTGGAAGTTGGGGAGACTTACTAGTAAAACATGTATTGCTTTCTTCTTCCAAGTAAGCTATGAGCATAAACCTCAACCTGGGGCTGCCTTTTTGATACAGTTCATAACACGCTATAGAGATGGGAACATGGGAATTCGGAAACGGGTGACAACCGTTGCAAGGAGATGGGTTGCGAAGCAGTCACCGGAAATTCGTGCTGGCTTTGATCAGGAAGCAGCAGCTGCAGTTATGGCCAGACTTGCCATCCATCAAGCAGAGACATGTCTTGCTGGAGATGTTATCAGATGGATGGATGATACACTTATATGGTTTGCTTCCAAGTTCGGAGACTATATACAAGAAGATCCTTCGTCTTTTCGTCTTGCATCAAACTTCTCGCTTTATCCCCAATTCATATTCTATTTAAGGAGGTCCCAATTTCTTGATGTCTTTAACAGCACTCCCGACGAGAGTGCATTCTTTCGACTGATGCTGAATCGGGAAGGAGTTACAGATTCTATTGTCATGATCCAACCCACACTTCTACAATATTCCTTTGATGGACCTCCAGTTCCGGTTCTCTTAGATATTCGCTCGTTATCCCCGGATGTTATTTTACTCTTCGACTCGTACTTTTGTGTGGTTATTCATTATGGATCCAAGATTGCTCAATGGAGAAAGCTCGGTTACGATAAAGACCCGAACCACGGGAACCTGAGAAAGTTGTTCGAGGCCTCGGAGCTCGATGCAGGTCAATTGGTGGCCGAACGAGTTCCACCTCCAAAGCTTGTTAAATGTGACCAGCATAGCAGTCAAGCAAGGTTTCTTCTAGCAAAGTTAAACCCATCGGTTACTCCAGATTCGACTTATTCGGATGGTTCAGACATTTTATTTACAGATGATTTGAGCTTACAAGTTTTCATAGAACACTTGCAAGCCCTTGCAGTGCAGGGCTAACTAAATGAGATTTTGTACACATCTCTTTAGGGTTACATATATTTGTTTAGTGTGATTTCCAAACACATTCGCTTTAGATCCATACATATGTGTCATTTCTGCTACAACTCTAATTTTACTTGTTCTTTATGCCTTGGATTTCTGTACTTTGTAAACTAGCAATCAAAACTTATACGAGGGATTTGATCCTCTAAAATTACTTCAAATATGAAAAATTATTCAACATACTCATGTCCCAAACTCGCACCGAGATTTGAGTAATAGGAGAAGCCTCAAGCTCATGATGCAGGTTGCTCACCAAGAGCTGCTGTAACTGCATCCATGAGGATTACTGCAAAATCTTTCCAAACCAGTTCCCGATCATTTCCAACGATGGGCGTCTTGTTCCATTGACTATGAAACTTGACAATGTTGAGGAAAATCTCTCGAGTTCGAAACATGCTTCATTTGCACAACTCGAATGGTTGCAATCGTAACGGTAATGGCATTCTAAGTTTCTCACTACACCCATTATCCAATGAACAAATGCAAACCGGGAGGCACAAACACCATTCTCTTAGTATCAGGCCCCATGAAAATGGTGCAACAGCGTCCCGGTATTTCAACTCTCCATTTCTACAACATCCATCTAAACAAATCAGGCAAGGCTTGCGAAATCAACATTGTTACAATCTCTCAAGTTCAAAACATGCTTCATTTGCACAACTCGAATGCTTGCGATTGTAGTAATAACGGCATTCCAAGATTCTCAATTCACCCATTATCCAATGAACAAAGGCAAACCAAGAGGCACAAAAACCAGTATGCTAAACCAAACGGCAAACCCATTAACATGGTGGAACAGCCAATCTACATACTCGTCCAGATCTTTCCACTCTCCAGCTCTACAACACCCATCTAAACAAATCAGACCAGCCTTGCGAAATCAACATTTCAAAACAATAACGATGCTTGACAGATTCACCTTTCACAATTTTACAAATGCAATAACATCCTCATTTTGTGGTTTGCACTCGATTCTCTACTTTCGGCAAAGCTTCATAGCACCCTTATTAGCTATAGGGATTTAAATTGTGATCGAGCACCGGACATTCATTGTGGTAGCATATCAACAAAGACTGCAAAATAGTGACCCTAACACTATTAATTTGTTACTATCACTGCATTGATTTTGCTATTAATGTCGATCCTTGTACTAAAATTTTCACAATAAGGCTTTCCAGATTCAACTAAAACAACAGTAGCAACTTCCATTCAAAGTAATTTTAGAACGTAACAGTTCAAGAATATTGAAAACATGCAAGAGATTGTAGTGGGAAAATGAAAAAAAAAACTGATAATTTCTGATGATTTTTCATGGTCAACAATGAGACTACGTTAAACAATTCTGCAAATGACTATGTTCAATCTAAAGAGAAGACCCAAATGATCAAATACCAGAATAATCCCCTCTAGGACTATCGAGCTCCTCATCCCCATCAGCGAGCACGTGTCCATAGGGCGACTCCAAATCATCCATTACCAAATCGTCCGTACTCCTCAACACCGCATGCAAGATCACGAAACAAACTCCGACGACAACCGCCACCAGAACATTACGCCAAACGCCGGTGAAGACCAGTCCGGCCAGTGTCAACCCGACAAGCGCGGCGAGGACGAGGCGGTCGTCGATCAGGGAGCCGAAGATCACAATGGGCTCATCGCGATCGCGGGCGAGGTAGAGGAAGAACCAAGCGAGGAGGATGACGAGGAAAGTGACGAAGGCTAGAGGGTGGTAGATCAGGGATAAGCAGAGGATTACGAGGAGGACTATTGTGTAGTTGAGGCGGAAATGGGTTATGTTTTGGGCGATTCGGGTGGTGGAGTCGGAGGAGGACGTCGGGATGTCGACGGCAGTGATGTCGAAGAAATCCCGCCACGGACGGCGGATTGAAGTCAGGGATTGGGCTGTGCCCTTAAAGCTAGAGAATAAAGAAGACATTTCCCGGGCAAAAATAACACCTAAAAAGAAGAAGACGAGAAGGAAAAAAAACCCAGAAATTTAGAAATTGAAGAGACGATAATAGAGGGATTTTGCAGTAAAATTATTGTTTGATTCCAGAGAATTTAAGGTCAAATTTAGCTTCTGAAATACCCAAGCCCCTAATATGTTCGTTTATCTTCTTCAGCTAATTCTTCCTTGTTTTCAATGCTAAAAATTCAATTAGTCCTTATATTATACAAACGTTTTAAGTTTAATCCTTATACTCTAAATTAACATTTCTAATTCTATACATAATTTAATTGTATTATTATTATTATTATTATTATTATTATTATTTATTTAAGTTAGGACTTACATTAGAAAATTTGTAGTGTATGAACTGAAATCGAATAAATAATAGTAAGACTAATGATATATTTAGAGATGGTAATAAGTCGGGTTAAATTTTCGTTCCGCCTAATTCGAAAGATATACTGTCATAACAACCTTTTTACTGAACAATTATTTTTAAATGGTCTGTCAAAATTAGAAAATAAGTTCAGGAGTCGATTACTCATGGTTCTAAAATTAAAAATTAAGAGTAAGAGATTTTATTTAATTTTTGACCCGTTATGTATGCAGATTTGAAAAAGGTATTTATGTAATTAGGAGTTGACCCGAAGCATGAGTGGAGGTTTACCATTTAACCCTATTACATAAATATTACCTTAATTTTAAAATCATAATTAAAGAGTTTTAAAAGGATATCAGTTTATTACGAGAGATATTAATGGTCACTCTGAGCACAAGCGGATGATCCATTATTAGAACTCAAATAAATCAACATTGTCTTTATTTTTTTTTTGAAACCAAATCATGCAATCAAACAATCAATTATTGACCTAATTATGCTAATGGGTTAATTAAGGCTTCATCTAACTAAAGTGTCAAATTATGGATTAAAGTACTTAATAAAACTAATCCTAAAAAGATCTTAATATTTTATTCGATTAGTTAAATTAATTAAAAAATTACAAGAAATTAATACAAAAATAAAGGCTTCATCTAGGTCAATTGTAAATTATTTAAAGAACCCAAACCCAGAATTAAGGCTCTAAATATTAACCCTAAATAACTTTTGATGTTTTAATCGAATAATAAAAAACCTAATGATAGTTTTGAATCTAAGTCAAGTAACCTCCAAAATTAAGGCTAAACGCTATCAGTTAAACAACAAGTAATTAATGAAATGAATTTAGATTTTAAGATAAACACGAAAAAAATTTAAATAAATAAATAAATAATCGAAAAAAAATCAACTTTCAGTGTTCATCTTCACCGAACCGTAGCTCCGCGACCGGTCTTAGCCGACTTGCTTGATACGTTTGTTTTTTATTTTCCGAAACCCGACCGATTTAAGCTCAGAATTTGAGTCGGTCCAATTCATTTTGAATAGGGTAAACATCACGGACGGTCCCTTTTATTTTGATACAGTTCTGTTTTGGTCACCTATTTTGAGGAAGTTTAGTTTTGATCATCTACGTTTTTGTATTATAACGTACTGGTAGTTCGGAACATTGTGGTCACTCAAGCGATAATTGTTAATCAGTTAACGATAATTGTTAGTCACTTAAGGATTTTTACTCAAAAGATATGGGATCATATGGATGTCAGGCTCGGCCTCTATTTTAATGTTGTATTGGGAATCAAAAAATGGCTGTCCCTTTTTTTCCCATATATATGGGGTAAGGGAGAGGTAAGATAGTAGGTTACCCCCAACACCAGGTTGAGAGCAGCTCCCGTAAGAGACCTCCGAATTATGAAATGCCCTCCGTGAGACTCGATTGTATTGGGAATCACAATAGGTATAATAGTCATTGTATGGTTAGAAATAGATCATATAAAAAATGTAACTGATTATTTCATTTCCTAGGGTCATTGGCCAATTATCGGGAGTTTCAGGGTTAATATCGATATTTTAGCAATAAATCCAATAAATCTAAACGTAGCCTTTGGTGTATTGATTTTTTTGAAAATGAAGTTTGTGCGAGTATTTTATTTCAAGAATAGGTTGCTCTCGCCTTATTTTCAAGTATTGCTCATGTTGGACTTCTTATGTCAGGCTACGGATCAAATAATAAATATTCCTTTTTAGGTGGTCTGTGAGCTGCAGCTCAATCGATTAGCTATGAAACACCATTAACTCTATGTGTTTTATCAATGTCTCTACGTGCGATTCGTTGAAATATAGTGTCAATAATAAACACCATTTATTTTTAAAATTGTAGTGTCAATATTTTCTTTTTTTTTTTCAATTTTAGAGTTCTCATATAAATCTCTATTTATATAATTTTTCTTATCATTTTACAGTTGTTTCCTAAATGTTATCAACAACACATAAATTATAATTAGACAAACGTTATTAAATCTAAAATTAAATATTTTTATAAAATTCGAATATAAAATTTTAAAGTTCTACGTGTGTTTCTTTTGTATTTAAAATAACCATGTATATTATATAGTACTTTTCAATTACTTTTTCTTCTGGTCGCCCACCATGCAAATAGCCAAGTCTTGTGTGCTTAACAAAGGGACAAAATAAGGGTGGACCAAAGTACGGATGAAATTATGTATTCTAAAAATTTAAAATTATCGTATGGTTTTAAAGAAAAGTGTATTTTTTTATTAAAAAAAAATTCGTCACTTAAAATTTTATAAATCTAAATTTATATCTAAAATTTTAAAATTTTAAATTTGTTCTCTGACATAAAATCTCGAGTACGTATACGACAAAACATGGTCATCACGCTCAACCAAAACCCTTTGACAACTCTGTGTTTTTTTCCTTGACCAGACAAACAAGCTCTGAATTTTCTCCAACAACAACAGAAAAATCTAATGGTATAAACCCAATTTGACCACGTTTTCAATATGTCTTAAAAGCACGTACCAAATGCCAACCGCGAAGAAGAATCGACTAAACCCTGTATATATAAATATACAAACTCCGAGCTCGAAAAAGAAAACCAGTATACTTAAAAAAAACGCCATGGACAGTGAGTTGATAAAGCAACTGCTGCAAGGAGAAATCTTCTGGTATGAAACGACGACGTCAAGTGCTACTACTGCTGCTGCTACTGCACCGAGTGCTTTCGTTCCGTTTTCGACTGCCGTTCTGGGTTGCGTCGACGGTGATGGAAATTCCGGGAATTTGAACAAGAGGATGATTGGGTTCTTGAAGAAGAGTTGGCCGTCGGCGGGGGCGGCGGATGCTAAGGAAGGTGGGAAAGAGAGGTGTTTTCTTCATATGATGAATGAGAGAATGAGAAGAGAGAAGCAGAAGAGAAGTTACTACGCCTTGCATTCCATGCTTCCTCATGGCACCAAGGTATTTGGTTTTGCCTATTATTTATTCTTTGGTTAGATTACTAAAATGATCCCTACACTTTGCATTCCTGGTGGATTTAGTCCCTCTACTATAGTTTTATATGGCATAATGCTAAAATTAATCCTCAACATTATTAAAATGTTTTTCCTTTTAGAATTTCAACCCAACGCTTTAACTTTTTGTCAAAATAACCACTATTGGATGAAAAATCATTAGTTGATTAATTGTCAACACATGTTGCTTACGTGACAGTTTCACATATATATACTTAATTGTTGACATGTAACATGTGAAGTTATCACCTTATGTGATGTGCATGTGACACTTCAACAATTAAACACATGTGAAAACATCACGTCAATAACATACGTTGTCAATTAGTCAACTAACGATTTCTATCCACCATGGTCTATTTTGACCAAATATTCAATTGTTAGGCTAAAATGCTCAAAGAAAAAGAATAAGAGTTGAAGTGACCGTTTTAGTAAACATCGAGGGTTAATATCGGCATTATGCCTTTGATAAATATGGGTAAACAACTTATAGTCCTCGTATTTGGTAATCTTTTCTAACTTAGTCATTTAACATCCGGATATTGATGTTTGACATGGAAGAATGATAAGAACTCGATAGTTCAAATGGCGATGAAGAGTGTTCAAGAGCTGGAATGGGTGAAGAAAGATTTGGAGAGGAGAAACCTTGAGTTGCAAGCAAACTATAATGAGGGAAAGAGGATAAAAGTGAAGATAGAGGATCCGACATCTGGGATTGATTCAATGTTGGAAGCTCTCAAATGCTTGAAGGCCATGGATTCCAAACCCACAATGATTCACTCAATGTTCACTCATCAACAATTCCTTGCTGTCATGGAGTTTGAATCTCAGGTAATTTAAAACCCAGAACGATCAGATTCAATAGTATCCAATTTTTTTATTAAAAAAAGTTACAAAATGGTCCCTGCCTATAGGAAGTTGTTTTGTTGAGTCCCTACACTATTAAAAGTTACAAAATATTCACCCGACTATTAATTATGTTCCAAAATCATCCTTTTCCGTTAAAAGTATGATGACAATTTGAATTGTACGTTAACTTATTGATTGAGATAAGATAAAATATGATCTCATAATCTCAAATTACTATCATATCTCAGTCAACATATTAATATCCAACTCAGACACGAGACAACCATTAAATTTTTAACAGAAAAGGATGAGTTTGAAACATAACTAATAGTCGAGTGACCATTTTATAAATTTTAATAGTCGAAGGACTCAACAAAGCAACTTCCTATAGTTGAGGGATCATTTGTAACTTTTAATAGTCAAGAGATTCAATAAACATTATCCTATAGTCGGGGGACCATTTGAGTACTTTACCCAATATATAATTAGTTTATAAGATACTAAAATTAGGGTATTGAATTAACGTTTATTTAACTTCATGTTGTTAAATTAAATAAATTAGTATTTTACTCATTTTTTTTATTTTAACAAAAAATATGTAAAAATTTTAAAATTGTATTAAACATGGTAGGAGTCGAGTTTTTAATTAAATCTATGCATCATGTTTAAAACATAAAAACATTTTAAATTTAAGATCATATAATATGATATCGAATTAAATTCAGATTAATTAAAAAATAATTTTGATCTGCTAAACATAATATCATATCATATTTTAAACTGAGGTCATGTCAATTAATGAAATTCAGCTCATAAAATCAATAATTTTTATGTTAAAGGAGATTACCATATTGTTGACGTTTTCCCTAATGTTACAAACATTTTTGTATAGGGACCGAAATGCAAACTGCGGTGTAATCATGGATCTGTACGGTAGTTTTACCAAAATGATATGAATTGTAGTAGTGCTAATTGTTGATTGTAGATGGGAGCTGCCAAGGTAGAGGCGGCGGTGACTAAAACATTGCAAGAAGCTGAGAGGAAACTTCAGCGACGTTGGACCGACCCAATATTAATACACGACCACAAGTTTTGATCGAAGTTTTCTAATGCAAAAATCACACGTGGCTCCACAATCATAGATGATTCAAGATTAGGTCAATTGACCAAAAAATGTAAACTAATTGGGCCAATTTGTATCACAAGAAAGTTAATTCTAGTGTAAACGTTTTGACTTTTCTCCTTTTTTTTTAATTGGGGATAAACAATTAGGTACGTTCAATTTAATTTTTAATTGGTGGCTTGAATTCTTCTCAGTATCACCTTAAAAAAAGATAAATTACACGTTTAGTGCCTAAACAATCAGTTTTGGTACAATATAATACCTAAACTATCATTTTTTTTAAATAATACTTAAAAGTTCACTTTTTGTTTCATTTTAACACCCCTATTTAAAATTTAATGTTAAATTTTGAAAATATTGAAAGTTTAAGTACTAAAACATATCAAAACTGATAATTTAAGTACTAAACACGTTAAATTTTTGACGATGGATAATAAAATGAAATGAAAACTAAAGATTATGTATGATTTTGAAAGTTTAGGTACTAAAATGGACCAAAACTAATGGTTTATTAACTAAATGCCCTAAAAATAATCAAAGACATCAGCGTCATCAAGTCTGCCTTTAAATAGTAATATCCAAAACAATATAAAATTGTCATTAATTAAAATACCTAAGGTTGCAACAATCAAAACTTGATCAACATGAATATCTCTTCATACACCACAAAATATAAAAAGGTACCCAAACCACATAGATGTGGCTTCATTTTAGAGGAATGAACCTAGAAGAGTGGGTAGCACCGATACCGGGTCTACCGTGCTTAACCGGCTTGTACGAAATAGAAAACTCGGCAAGGTAATGGCTGATCATTTCAGGCTTGATCTCGACTTGATTGAATGTCTTGCCGTTGTACACACCGATAATGCTTCCGATCATTTCGGGCACGATGATCATATTACGCAAGTGGGTTCTAACTGGCTCTGGTTTCTCACCGGGCGGTGCCTCCCTTTTCTAAATCGATGTATCAAAGTAAGATTCAACTTCCACAGAATAATCAAAACACTGGTTCAACTAATGCAGTTTGATCAAAGATAATATTCGCTTAAGCCATAGAACTACAATGACAATTCAAGAACCTAGGATGAGTAACACGAAGCTTAAGCAAGTAAGCGTAAATATATGAAATGGAACTCGAGATTGGAAAACGAAATGATAAACTGCTAACAATTGAGAAGATGAGATGGCTACAACATATGCAATAGAGTGAGTTAGTTGCAATAGAATGAGCAAAAACCTTTTACTTGATCAAATCAAGACTATATTCAAATATGTGCATTCCAGTGGGGTTTGAAACAAAATCAAACAAATGCAATATGCCTCAAGAGTGACGATATGAGATTCCCGACAATATTCCTCAAGTGGGATTCGAAACATAATCAATCAACAAAACGCAATATACCTCAAGATGAGTGGTAACGATATATGATTCCCAGCAACATCATCGAAAGAAGAAAAGTAAAAAAACAACTTCAAGACTATATTCAAATATGTGCATTCAAGTGGGATTCGAAACATAATCAATCAACAAAATGCAATATACCTCAAGATGAGTGGCACTGGTAACAATATATGATTCCCGACAACATCATCGAAAGAAGAAAAGTAAAAAAAATCAACTCCAAGACTATATTCAAATATGTGCATTCAAGTGGGATTCAAAACATAATCAATCAACAAAATGCAATATACCTCAAGATGAGTGGTAAGGATATATGATTCCCGACAACATCATCGAAAGAAGAAAAGTACAAAAAATCAACTTCAATACCATATTCAAATATGTGCATTCAAGTGGGATTCAAAACATAATCAATCAACAAAATGCAATATACCTCAAGATGAGTGGTAACGATATATGATTCCCGACAACATCATCGAAAGAAGTAAAAAAAATCAACTGAAGACTATATTCAAAATTTCAAATATGTGCATTCAAGTGGGGTTCGAAACATGATCAATCAAGCAAATGGCAAATGCAATATGCTTCAAGATGAGTGGTAACTGCATATGATTGACATCGAAAGAAGAAAAGTAAAAGATCAACTTTAGCACAGTGAGATGTGTTACAAAATTTTCAAGAAATTAAACAAATAGCCATAAGAATCTAATGCTATATGCCGAATAAAATACATGAGCTTTACATTTAAACAAGTTTAAAAAAAATCAAATGAAACAATGCCCAGTAACTCTATATCAACCCTAAATCTAATTATAAATCCCACAAATATAAATTGTAAAAATCAACAAAAAAGAGCAAAATTAAAGATCAGCTTACCGCCTTGCGAAGCTTCTTGATCAAAGCCATTGGCTTTCTCTTGAGACCCCTCTGGAACCTAAAAATCACATCATAAGAACAATTAGTAAACGAAGTCTGATCGATACTTTTTTATCAAAAAAAATTAGGGGAAAAATGATATCGTTGCTATTTACCTTCTGCGTGCACGGGCAGGGAAGAGCTTGACAAGCTCATCGGTGGACATGTCAAGCAGAGCATCCAAATCAACTCCTCGGAAGCTAAACTTCTTGAATGTTCTCTTCTTGGGGACTCCGGCAGCCGCAACCTCCGTCTCCACGTCCGCCTGTGAAAGTTGCATTCAAATGAACATTACATAGTAAGACAGAAAGACAAAAAGAAAAGCAATAAAGTGAGAGAAAAACAATGAGAAGTAACGAGAAAAATGTTAACTACCATGGCTGAATGCTTTGGTGTTCACTGAATCTCGAGCAGCAGCCGCTAAAATTTTTTTATGGAGAGGGGACGGCATAATTACTTATTATTTGCTTATATATAGTCTGATAACCCTAGAATCAGACTTTTGGGCGGTTCGCTTCGGGTTTACTTCTGATTTTGGACGATTGTTTGAACGTTACTTTGTTTTTAACGATTGTCTAAATATTCAATTTAAATTTTTATTTTTCTATTACTTTAAATTTTAATATTTTAAATTCTAATTAAAATGACCCTTAGGGTGCGTTTGGTTCACGTAATAAAAGATTACCAGTTGGAATATAAGATTACCAGAGAATAGGATTACTGGGAATGTTGTATTTTGTGTTTGGTTGGCTTAGCAGGAACGTAAGATTATGTGTTTGGTTAAAAGAATAAAAACTTATTAGAATGTATATTTGACCAAATTGTCCTTATTATATATTTTTTTAACAAGTTGAAAATTATTTATATATTTTTTTAAAAAATTTAAATTCATAAAATTTATTTTTACAAAATTGAAAATATAAAAAGGTTTAATGAAAGGGTAAAATTTTATTTTAACCCCTGAACTTCATATAAAATTTTAATTATAGCTTTTTTTTGTAAATCTAAAATAGTTTAAGGATAAATTTATAATTTAACATTCGTAGAATTTTTATTATTCAATGACAGAAAAAAGATATTTAAAAAAATTAAGGGCATTTTAGTCCAAAATGCCAGGAATCCAACAATACATAAGGAAAGGGAGGTAATGTCATTCCCGGTAATATACCCCAAAAAATCCACTATTGGTAATCTTACATTACCGAGAATGAGATTCTCGGGTTAACCAAACGGGGGATTGTGAATTTCATTCCTATGTGAATCTCACATTCCCCCATCCAAACACCCCCTTAATAAATGAAACTCTTAAATCTTAATCGACTAACCGTCAATGTATTTAGTAACATATACTTTCATATATATTAAATTGATTGATGTGATATATATCACATCATCAATTTTAATTATATGATATATTTTTCGTCAGCATCTTGAGTAATGTGATAAATATTATATGTCTACATCAGTAATATATACGAATTGTTAGTCAATTAAATTTTTTTATCAAATATATATATATGTTGTTTTGACTAGTAATAAAAAAATAGAGTTAAAATACTAACAATATTAAAATGATTGTTTAAGTAAGTGTTCGAAGTTAATTTTTGGCATTATACAAAAAAAAATTAAAAATGTATTTTATTCATAAAAATAGTTATTATCCAAATATTTTTTGAGAAAGAAAATTTTCACGCGCGGTTCATAAATATTGAAGTAATGACTTTTTACGAAGATTATTGCTTTTTTTCCTCAAATAATGAACCATACTATTTCAATTAAGGGTACGTTTGTTCCTTTAGGAGGCTCTCAAACAATTTACGAAAAATGTTTTATTTGTTTTCCTGTGTTTGGTTTAAGGAAAATATTTTCCGGTCAAAGGAAAATCACTCATTTTCTTCCGTAAAACAATTTATAGTTTGTAAAGGGAAAAGTCATTTTCCAACAACATTCATCTTCAAAGGAAAATCACTCCTTTAAAACTCTTTACATCCAAATCATCCTATCAAGTACTCTTCTCACCGGCGACGATTACTCAAGCCATCCAAATCATCCTATCAAGTACTCTTCTCACCGGCGACGATTACTCAAGCCATCGTCGTTTATCTCCTCAGGTAATCAAACGATTCTTACATTTTGTAATTTTAGATTTGTGCTTCCCTGTTTTCGTCCCCAATGATTCTTCGGTTGAGCCTACTCCTTGTAGTCGAAGGTTCATTTCGTCCCCTCTCAGACTACTATGGCTACTCTCTCGTTTTATCTAAAAAAAAGTCTCATAATCCCTCAAATCCGAAATCATCTGTTGCTGTACATTGATAGCAATTTTACTTTTGCAATACGATTCTCACGTTCATTTAAAAAATATATATATACCACATACAAAAAAAAAAAAAACTTGCTTTATATTAGTATATCGACATAAATCCAGTGTTTTGAAAATCGGACTAGACCGGTCGGTTCAATCGGAAATCGTTGTCTAGTCCGGTTCAATCGGAAATCGTTGTCTAGTCCGGTTCAATCTACACCGGTTGAATCGCTACTAGTGAACCGGCCAGAACCGCTGAATCGTTCGAACCAAACCTGCTGAAAACCGGAAAAAACAAAAAAACCGTCAATTTTGTTTTTTTTTTTAAATAAACCAAACGACGTCGTTTGTTAAACAAGCCAAATCGAACTCGAGTATTGCTGAGCTCGACTCAAAATTGAAAACTTTAATAGTAAACTCAACTCGACTCAAACTCACGAGCTAAAAATTATCAAGTTCAACTTAAACTCGAAATATAATATTGAAACTTGAACTCAAAAAGGCTTGAACTCAAAAAAAATTTAGAAGCTCGATTGAAGTCTAAAATTCGAGCTTGATTGAAGTAAAAAAATAGTTCACTCAATGATCACCAAAAGGCTCCATGATTTTGAATGTCAAATTACCTATATTATTTATATAAGTTAGTTGTGATGTTCTGCTATGTTTCTTAGCCATGTGAGATTGTTTTGTTATCATATTTTTACTCTTTAGACTTTTAGGATGCTCTTCTATGTTTCTTAGACATGTGGGATTATTTTTTTTAAATTAAACCAAACAATATCATTTTATTATGATTTTTTAGCCCCAAATTTATTTTTTAATTATAGTTATATAATTATATTTAATATTTAATATTTTTTACCTTAAATATTATGTTGTAGTTAATTTGAATCATTTTGTTTCATTTGATTTTATGGTTTTTAACTTATATATGTTATGATTTGCTTTGAATATGACTTATGATATAAAAAATTATTTTTTATTAAAAAATTTTAGAATTTTTATTTAATATTTTAAATAATTATGACGTCATTCGGTTCTTTCGACCGATCAGACCGATTCAACCGATTAAACTAGTAAACCAATAACATGACCGGTTCGCTAACCGATCTGATTCTGAAAACCATGCTAAATCACATTCATTTCGGCGGTGTAAGTTTAGGCAAGAGATTAAACGTAATATGTAACTCTTTGGGCCAACATTAAATAAAACAATACAAATAAAACGATTTTTTATCTTCCTCTATTATTGCGTAGGATAATTCAAATATAGAAAAAAATAAGATATAAAATTACAATTTTGTATACTCTATGCATGTTTATTTATTAAAGGCTTAATGCCCAAATAAATTATCAAACTATTTTTTCTTTTTTGTTAAATAAGTATCTACGATTTTTAGGTATTCAGATCATTAACGCCGTTGGTTTTCTTTATTAAATGTCACGTGTCAACTCATGATAATTTTAAAATTTATTTTTTATAAAAATATTAAAAATATTATTATATTTATAAAAATATTCCTAACTTTTCTTACATTATAAAACAATCCAAAATATTAAATCTTAACCTTAATATGTCAACAACATCCTCTGTGGCCACAATAGTATCGCCAACGTAATCTTTGACATCATCCTAATTATATGTCATCTTAGTTATCATCGATTCGCTGTTAAAAGCGCGTGAGATCACGATCGAAGGGAGGGGTGACAGAGTAGAACTTCTTCGACGGTAAAAGATGACAATCTACATAAGTTTAAGTGTTGAAATTAAAGTATTAACACTATTCAATAAACGAAAAAAACTAACAGTATTAACAACTTGAACACTTAAAAGTATAACGTTAGACAATTATTTGAGAATTAAAACATTATTAAAAACAGATTCAAAAAATAATTTTCACAAAAATTAACCAAACACAAATTCCAAAAATTATTGTCAAAAGAATTAGTCAAACAGAAAAAATATTTTACAATATAACGTCCAAACAACATAAAATATTTAAAAAATAATAAATTATTTTCGTGTAAAAAGATAACATAGGAAGAAGAAATGTAGGGCAATACCTCGCTCCGACTACTATAACTAAAGTAGCGAAGCGGCCATGGTATCCCACACCGAGTCAAAAAAATAAAGAAACGGTGTTAATATGCGCCAATCGCACTAACGTGCGCCACAACCTCTCCCCGTGGAATACCACGCCACCCCTTGTTTCACGGGGGAAGCGCTCGGCCTTTGGCGCTTTCAAGAATAAAGGGACAAATGATAACTACCGATCTATCATGGTTGAATGCTTTGATCTTCTGAAGCTCCAGTAGTCGACGCTAAGTGTTTTTTTTTTTTATTGACGCCGCTAAGTGTTTTACCAGGGAAGGTGGACGATGGAAAATGCTTATGATAAATCGCTTATATGTATATATAGTTTGAAAACCCTAGAAATCAGTTCTTTGGGTACCAACATTGGGCTTGCAATTGGGTCAGGGTTTAGTTTTGCCAAATTTTAGATCCATCTTGATCGTTTAATCAATTTTGGCAGTTAATTATAATTCTCGTCTTTGTTTTGATTAATATTTTTAGGGTAAAGTATACAAATAGTCCCCTAATTATAGGATATTATTTTATTGAGTCCCCTTACTATTAAAAGTTACAAAATGTCCCCTACTATAGGATGTTGCATTGTTGAGTCCCTCGACTATTAAAAGTGACATAATGGTCACTCAACTATTCATTACATTTTTCGTTAAAAAATTAATGCCACTTTGAGTTGGATGTTAGTCTGTTGTGTGGGTTATGATAGTCTTTTGAGATTCTAGAATCAAATTTTAAAATATCTCATATAGTATATTAAGATCCAATTCAGATTGCATCAATCTTTTGAGGAAAAGGATGAATGTGGAACATATTGAATAGTCAAGTGACTTTTTTGTAACTTTTAATAGTCGAGAGGACTCAACAAAGCACATTCTATAGTCAGGGGACTATTTGGGGCTTTTTATAGTTGGGGGACTTAACAGAGAACACCCTATAATCGATGAACCATTTGTATACTTACCCATATTTTTTTATTATTTAGTCGCATGACAAATGGATCTATAAGATGTAATATAAGATAAAAATTAAACTCATATTTGTATGAGCAAAATATATCATAGGTCATTCAATTTTGTGTTTTATAATAGAATTTAGGGTGAACTATGTATTTAGTATATAAATTATCAATTATGATATGTTTTAATACATAAACTTTTAAGTTTTTTAAAACCACACCTAAACTTTAGTTTTTGTTTCATTTTAGTATCTCATCGCAAAAACTTAATGCATTTAGTACCTAAACTATCAGTTTTTATCCATTTTAGTACATAAACTTTCAACAATAAAATTCAAAATTTAACGTTAAATTTTGATCTGGGTACTAAAATGATATTAAAACTAAAGTTTTTAACAGTATGATATTAAAATAAAATAAAACTAAACTTTAATGGTGTTGGCTGTCGTCGTTAGTATTTTTCATCTATTTTTATACTATATTTTTATTTCTCCTTTGTATCGTCTATTTTTTTTAATAATTTAGTTTTTATGAAACGTTTTACTTTGCTTTTATAAGACGTTTTTTTCTTGCTTTTTTGTATGTTTTTGGCCGTTTAGTCGTTGTTTTCGTTCAAGATGACGCTTATTGGTTATCATGCTGATTAAATTTGACATTGCCACGACTAATCAAGATGGCTCTTATTTGTTATCATATTGATCTTTCCTGTTTTGGATCTTTAGACTCATTTGGATGCACAATTTACATTCGTGGATAGTTTTCTCACGCCGCTTGACTATGGTTTACATCTTGTCAATGGTATTCCAATAACTTCATTTTCTGTTGTGTTTGTAAACCTTAATTGTAATTCTAGATATTTTATGTTCTTAATAAAACTAGCGACTTTCTATTAAAATAATTTTTGTATTTAGTAACACCGAGCCACCAATAATAAATATATCTTTTGAAAGGATTTGTTATCTTTTAAGATTTTGGATTCGGACAAAAATATTCAAAAAATTGAATGCTTATTATTAAATGGATAAATATTTTTGAATAAATATTATCTTATATTTACTTCAAATTTATAAAAAAAATGTAAATAATAAATATATCCAATTTTTGAATAATTGTGTGAATTCATATATTATAAAAATTATAGATATTGAGCTTTCATTTCTGTATTTATATAAAACTACAAATTAAATTAAAATATACAATCAAACTATTTCAATAATTAAATAAAATAATTATTATCCATACGAATTTTATGTTCGAGCACTCAACATTATAAAAAGTGTGGGGTTTCATTGTGAAACTTGGACAAATTACATATTTTTTATATCTAAACTATCAATTTTGATTCGTTTTTATATCTAAACTTTTAAATTTTTTCAAAATCATATATAATATTTAGTTTTTATTTCATTTTAGTACCCAATGTTAAAAAGTTAACTCATTTAGTACCTAAACTATCAGTTTTGATACATCTTAGTATCTAAACTTTTATTTTTTTTCAAAAATTAATGTTAAAGTTTGAATAGAGGTACTAAAATGAAATAAAAATTAAACTTTAGGTATAATTTTGAAATTTTTGAATGTTTAAGTACTAAGATGGACCAAAATTGATAACTTAGATACTAAACGCGAATTTTACCCTAAATTCTTTACGGACCTTCAACCGATTTTCTGTGCTATATAAAAATACTTAAAACCCTCGTTCTATCATTCCCTAACAATCCGGGAGGTGGAAGCCCTTGAAGCTCGACAGTATTTCTAGAACTTAGTCAAGGCTCAAAGAGGTTCGCTTTCATCATCTTTTTTGCGAATTCCAACTATTATTTTCTCCATTTTTCTGGGTTTTTGCTTAACAATCAGCTCCCTTGTTCTCATTTTGATCACAACTCTTGTATATATTTTCCGGGCTTCTGTTTTTATACAGAAATAGCTTGGTTTTATTGAAGATGGAAATTGATTCTGGGTCGGGAAAACCAAATGTTAAAACCTCAGAAGAAGGCAGTTCAATGAATATGGATTCCCAGGAACCCTCTGAAACAAAGGTAACTAAACGTGTCCTCCTTTTTATAAAGTAATTTCTAGTGGAACGATTGAAAATAAATGGTGGGTAGTTCTTGTAATCGGTATCTGAGTTATTTGATTTTTCATTATGTAGGGAGACGGTGATGAAAAGGAGCAGCTTGCTGGTATTATGGACAAGTTAAATATCGAGTCCTCTTCAGACGGTTTCAAGAGAAAACCGGTGATTATTATTGTTGTTGGAATGGCTGGTAAAACAAGAAACTTGAATTGGTTGTTTCTTTAATGTTTGTTGTACATAGCATATTTTGGTCTCTAATTGAAATTCAAGTTACTAGTAATTTGTTTGCGTATATTTGAATGTTGAAATGTGCTGTTTGATTTGGTTAGGGAGTGGGAAAACGACATTCCTTCATAGGCTGGTTTGCCACGCTCAAGCTTCGAATATTAGGGGTTATGTGATGAATCTTGACCCTGCTGTAATGACCCTTCCATTCGGTGCTAACATCGATATAAGAGATACTGTTAAATATAAGGAAGTTATGAAGCAGTTCAATCTCGGACCTAATGGTGGAATCCTTACATCACTTAATTTGTTTGCTACCAAGTTTGCTGAGGTAAAATCTTTTGAAGTTTCTGCACTTGAAACAATGCCAAGACATTTGGTGCTTGGATTACCTGTCTCCACTGGAAATTAGCTAGCGTAGTCGTGAAGTTTATGTACTACATAGATTTTACTTCAAATCTGTAATGGTGCTGACATGTATGGGCATCATTTATTTAAAAAAAAGGGTAATTTGCATTGGTACATGTACATGCAGAATTGTCTTAGTAGCAGGTTTGTCTTGGGCTAATTTGCATCAATGCATGTACTGATGTACATGCAGAGTTGTCTTAGTAGCTGTTTTTTTCGTCTTTATTCTCCCCATTGATGTGCTTGTTATATTTTTACTCTTTCTTTTTGTACATTCCATTTGTCATTTAAGGCGACTGACTTAGCGAATATCCAATCTTAGGTTATCTCGGTTATTGAGAGGCGAGCGGATCAACTTGACTATGTTCTTGTGGATACTCCAGGGCAGATTGAGATATTTACCTGGTCTGCTTCAGGGGCTATCATTACAGAAGCATTTGCTTCAACTTTTCCTACTGTAGTCACTTACGTAGTCGATACGCCTCGTTCAGCAAGTCCAGTTACCTTCATGAGCAACATGCTTTATGCTTGTAGCATACTTTACAAGACACGGTTGCCTCTTGTGTTAACATTCAACAAGACTGATGTTGCACAACATGAATTTGCTTTGGAGGTATATTAATTTTCATATTAGATGCAAATATTTTGTTTTGGCATTGAGATAATATCTTGTGGATGCTTTCATTTAAGTTCATATTTGTTACAATTGCTAGGTTTTGTGTTGTACTTTTCCCCTAATTTTGTCAATCGTTCATTTGTTCATGATTCATCGGTTTTTATCCGTCTCCGGATTTTTCTGTTGACATGCAATATACGCAATGCTGTTTCCTTTCCTATCAATTTATTGTCTTTAAAAAGAAAAACAAATCATTTGTGCAGTGGATGGAAGATTTCGAGGCATTTCAAGCGGCAATAAGGTCGGATAATACATACACATCAGCTCTAACTGAGAGCCTGTCCCTCTCTCTGGATGAATTTTATAGGAATTTACGATCTGTTGGAGTGTCGGCTATTTCTGGGGCTGGAATGAATGAATTCTTTAAAGCCGTTGAAGCCAGTGCTGAGGAATACATGGAAAATTATAAGTATTACCTTTCTCTTTTAATATTGCAAAATCAGTTTGGGAGTGTTTTAATAGTTTATGGTAATTCTCGAAAGTTATTTGTATCTTGCTATCCTTGTTTATAGGGCTGACCTTGACAAGAGACGAGCAGAAAAACAACGCCTAGAGGAAGAATGCCAGAAGGAGAGCATGGATAAGTTGAGGAGGGATATGGAACAATCAAGAGGTGAAACTGTTGTCCTGAGTACTGGTTTGAAAGACAAAGATGAGAGTAGAAAGACAATGATGAATCCCGAAGATGAAGAACCAGTGGACGAAGATGATGATTATGTCAGGTTCAGTGAAGAGGATGAAGATCTTATAGAAGAGGAGGATGAAGATGAAGAGATTGCCAGGTTCTCCTTCTAATAATATATGTTTAGCCCTGGAAGGACTAGCAGCACAACCAGAATCGTATCGGATTTGTTGCGACTATAAATTCTCTTTAAACTTCGTAGATGATCTCACATTTTGGGTGAATATTGGAGGTTCTTAAGAACAACTTTTTTTTCTGGATTAAACTGCTTATATAGTTTGATGCTTTCAGAAAAGCGAAGTAAAGGTATGTGATATAGTAGTTTGATTTTCGCCAGTCATGTTATGTACTGCTCTAAGTGGCCAGGAAAGTAATTTGCAGTCGGTCGGTTTAGTTCGAAAACAACCAAAACCTGTGCTAACCGAGTCTTTTGATGCCGTTATCGGATCTGTGAACATAATGACTAAACGATACCAATGTGTTTGCATGTACTGTAAGGCAAGTGTTGTATGATTGTTTGGTTTTCCACAATATTTTTCAACCCCTTTATGCAAACACCCTAATATAGGATCGACCTTACAAGTTCTGTGCAAACAAGATAACACACATCAACAGCTGAAACCAAAATAAAATGTGCCTAAAACCTTAACAATCTTCTCTCTTTGATTCGAACTGTAAGTTCTTCTTCCGATGGAATCTTTCTGCCGCTCTTTTTGGTTGCCTGCAACCATGTCGTAAGCTCATCCTGAGATATGTAGTTAGACCATATTATCAAACTAATAAACCAGTAAGTTGACAGTCATCTTAAGGGTAATGCAATTAACATGCTTGACTCTCAAGAAACCATAATGAACAATGGAAAGTTGATTCTTACCTCGAGAAAATCGTGGTTGGAGATGTACTGGCTCTCGACCGAGCACTCGACCCCCCCTACGTTTGCAGTGATGGAGTTCTTCGAATCTCGTTGTATGCCCTGTTTGTTTCCCTCTGGGAAATTACAGGAAGGGAAATGATAGATAACAAAGGGAAAATTATGCCTCTAAAAAACCTTATGCATCAATAACTTGCTAACAACATGCAAACAATCCACCATTAATCAATGATAAAAAAACAAACGATTCAGTGTCATACCAGTTATGCAGGCAACATAATATCCTGTTCCTCCTAGTCCTTGTTCCCACTTCGCAAGCCTTAATCGCAGGAAAAATCCTTCGAGACGTGGGGCCGATGTTCGTGAATTCTTCCACCTGACATCGACGCAGCATTAAAAATCGAAACGAAGAATTAAATTAGGTAACATAAAAAACATCAGTGATAATATCAAGTTTTCATGTTTTAATATGATTTTACCAATGGAAATGGTGGCCTACTTACTTCAGGATGTCTGTCCGTGACAAACGAAGCATCCTCACGGCATCAAATATTACCTTTAGCGTATCTGTATCCTGTTGATTGGTGAAACCATCCCAAGGTTTGATTTCCTTGGAACTGGAACCAACATATTTCTTTTTCACATTTGTGTTTGATTTCATTTCGTCTGCAATAACTTCATAGAGAGTACGAGGGCCTTTTCCAGAATCAATCCGAATTATCTGTCCAGCCATCGCTTCTCGGTTTTCATCTAAAAGTTTCGTATTCTCTTCAAATCTGGCATAACATTGCAAATCACCGAAACTAGACGAAGAAGCTCTACAAGCTGGATGATGTTGAACTTTTGATTCAGTAGGGCATATGACATCCCAACGACGGAGTTCAAAGCATCTAAAACACGAGCAAGGTAATTCTTTGAATCTATTAGATGACTTTATATTCCTCAGATATTCAATCTCATTGTCTGTTATATCTGGACAATATTCCAAATGATGGCCCTTCCTTCCACAAAAGAAACATGTGACAGTTGACGAGGTTTGATTGTCGAAAACACCAGAAGGCATGATGTGCTTGGGAGCATGTAATCTCCTAGAGTAAAGAGAAGCCATCATCTCTGAATCGTTCGACCTAAGGCAGTGTAAACCGATAGAAATGGATGCCTCCATTTCAGACGCAGAAGGTAATTCTTTACTCGAACTGGTTAGCTGCACTTCGGGGCCTTGCTGCCTAGTCCCCACAGTCTTCAGGCTGTTAGGAACATTAACATTATTCTGGCAGAAAGGAGTATGCTTCATGAAGTCACTAAAGCACTCAACAGCGCCAGCGGTATCCCGGTTCAACGAAGAGCTAAAAGACTTGGGAGTAAACCGAGTTATCCACAAGCTCTCTGGAAGATTACTTTTGTGACAACTGTTTTGAACCGTCTTTGTTTCTGATGGTGCGTCCAAATCAATGTTCTCGACGTTCCTTTTTAGTTTACCTAAAGAAGAACTAGTGCTTGCTCTTTCCTTCCTCACATCCACATGCAAATCGATCGAACTCGTATTCTGTGCAATATTTCCCTCACTACTTCTCCCACTCGGGCCTACCCTGTCACCACAAATTGGTTTTTCGAACCTTCCATTAAACACATTAAGGAAGTTAAAGTTTTCTCCATGATAGGTGACTGAAGTAGCATTGATGTCACAAATCTTGTTATTTGGATCGAGTCCGGCTTGATCAATTTCAAGTCGTGATGTTCCTTGAACCTTGGTGTGAAAAACAGATTGGAAACCGATATTTCCGCACCCCTGATCTCGGTTCTCATTGCTTGCATCAAGATTCTCGATGGCACGACCATGTGACTTATTCGTATTTGCAGCAGTAAGCATAAGAGATGGCTTCTCGTCTTTCGCTTTCAAGAACCCTTTCATCATGTTTGATATCCAGTTCATGAAGGGACTATCTTGTTTCACTCTTTTGCTCCCAACAATCAACTCCTGCTCAAAGCCCTTCCGTCTTTTGCCTGTAGAGAATAATGCAGCACTGTTACAACTTTCAACACTCTCGCCGCTGTCATCTCCCTTGGCTTTTGACATCATCCCTTTAACATCTCCATCGGACAAAGTTTTTTCCTTTCCTTTTCTTCTGCATCTACGGATTCCGCCATTAGTCGGAGAATGCTTGCCAGCAGACACATTCTCCGATTGTATCCCCTCATGGTGCTCATAGTTCTTTTCATCTTCAGCAGAAGTAAATTTTTCCTCTGGAGGTCCAGATGCACCACATTCATTGTTGGTTTGAACTTCAGATGCGAAAACCATCTCCATCCGTGCCAATTGAGTCCGATCACCTACATCTCCGACTTCATTCGCGGGATCATTGAATAATGCCACATCTGGTTTTTGGTCAAGTAAAGAACATATCAGTTACATGTCAAGTGCATTAGCAATTAGCAAGGACATCAAAAATTAAACCATGAACACATAAATAGTTTATGCAAACTTAAACATGCCTTGTAAAGAATCACCATTATCGATCTGCGGTTCATGGCACAACTGGATGCCATCGTTATCCCCGGCTGATTTATCCGAGTCGTCCATGTCTGAAACTTTAGCATTCAGATCAAGGAATGTGGAGGAGGATGTATTGGTTTTCTGATTCACCATATTGCTCAGTCCTGCAGTCCGGAGAAGGGAATGTTTATTCTCCAAAAAGCTGCACTCGGTACACTTGAGACAGAGACCTCTGCGTGGAGACCAAACTATTTCGGACAAGGGATCGGCGGCCACGAAATTCATGACCATCCTTGAAGCTGCATTTGCACCTGCACCGAGATCATTGCTCGTCCTTCTCGCGATCGTGTAACCGGAATACCCCAGCGCAAGGCCTAAATCAGTCAACGGTTCAATGTTCTCGTTTTCCATGGTCGGTTTCGTTCGATGGTTCCTTCGATCCGCAATCCTGAAATCCAAGCAAAGTTAATGTCATGTGGCAAGAACATATAGACATGCCTAGGAGCAGTTAAACTACATGGAACCTGAATTTGATCTCACATAGCATTTCAAGTGAACCACCATGGATATACAACTTAATCAACAAATTTTTTCGATATTTCGAAGAAAAGATCTCGGTTTCAAATCAACATCAAATGCAATCCCGCCATTGAAATCCAACATCAAGCATCCAAATCTCATTCTATTTAAGATGATAAAGAGTTAAGAGGAACATAACATTTCATATTCATATTCGACATATATTCGAATATTTCAATATCATGAAAACTAAGCATACTCGTATCCGAATTCGAGTAACATAATCTAGATACTCCTACTGCAGCTTCACCACATGAATCAACTTCTGTATATATATACATAAAAAACAGCAGTAAATCAAATGAAACTTCTGATGAATGCAGATGCAGAAAGAAAGAAGAAGAAAATTACAGAAGAAAGAAGCTACCGACAATAAATATAATTCCTTTGGCAGATTATTTATATAACGCTCACAAGAAACGGGAAAATGGGTAATTAAAGATGAGAAAAAGAAGTTTTGAAGCTAAAAGTAGGTGCCGCCATGGCCATGGATCACCAATCTTGTTTTCAACTGCAAGTTGGAGCAGTTTTCACGGAAGTGAAGGTGGATTCCAAGCTTTTTGAAGGATTCTGCAGCATGAGGTACAGGTATTGCCACGTTGATAAGTATATATATCTATGTATACACATATACATAACAGGGTAAAACTATCATAAAAGTTATCGGATTACATTTTTGATTCCTATACTTGGAAAAATAAGGATATTCATCCCTTTATACTATAAACATTAACAAAATAGTTCGTTTATAAGCATGATTTTACGTTGGAGGATTAAATTTATTTTAATTTATTAAAAGTATGACTAATTTAAGAGAATATGTAAATAATATGAATCAAATGTATAATTATACCAAAATATCACATCACTTAACTTGTTAACTGTTAACGGCAATTAGGCCTGTAAATGAACCGAAAGCACACGAACGGAGATATGTTCATGTTTGTTCATTTAATAAATAAACGAACACGAACATAAACGAACAAATTTTTTTTGTTCATATTCGTTCATTAAGGAATATAGCATGTTCATGTCCGTTCATTTAAATGATAAACGAGCATAAATGAACACAAACGAACGAAGATAAATAAACATAATAAATGAACATAAACGAACAACACAAACACACAAAAAACTTATTCGGACACAACAAATGAATGTAAAAAAAATAAACAACAAGAATAATAAATTAAAATTCATTAATATAACCTGCAACTTTAGATTTAATTTGTTCGAATACGACAAAAACATACATAAATCATAAATAAGCTATATGAACATAATAAAGTCTTAAAGTTAATTTGTTCAGCAAAACAATCTTCTTGAAATCCAAACAACTTCAATAATATTCGTAACATAATCAACTTGTCATTTGTTCGAACATAAATGAACATAAATGAACATATAATCGAGCGTTCACGAACGTAAATGAACGAACGGGCCCTTTGTTCGTGTTCGTTCGTTTTTAAACAAACGCAATCTTGTTCATGCTCGTTCATTTAATAAATAAACGAATTTTCTGCCTCACGGTTCATGAATGGTTCGCTGAACGTTCAGTTCATTTGCAGGCCTAACGACAATTAACCTGTGGTGACCACATCTTAAATAAATAAAAACAAAAAAAATGATCATATCTTAATTAAATAAAAACGAATGTGGTCATATCTTATGTATTTTAAAATCAATGACTAAAAGTGGACAAGACACAAACATAAGTTATTATCCATGTAGTTAACCCTTTTAAATATTGATGAAGGTAGGAACTAAGCTGAATACGAGGTGAATTTTAGAGATCAAATTGTAAAGCCTAAGAAATTTAAAGATTAAAGGTGTAATTTCACTATTTTTCTTTGACTTGTACATTAGAGGATATAAAAATGATGTGTGAGTAACTTATACGAGTACGCTAAATGAATTAAACACTAATATTTTTAAAATTAAACAACAAATAAGGGTGAGCGTATCAGGTTAAGTACAATTTTTTAAGCTATTTGAATTGATGAGTCTTATTTTACAACTCGAAGTTGACTTGAAATTTTTTTGAGTCGAGTTGAGTTTATAAAATTTAAGTTGAGTTGAATTTTCGAGTTTCTTTTTAAATTTAATTGTAAATATTTATAATATTATGATATTATTTTATTCCAATTTAAATGATTTTTATAACTATATACTTACATACATACCGTACAAATTAGAGAGACTCAACTCAAACTTAAAAATTAATCTAAATACTAAAATTTTGAGTTATTCGAGCTATTATTCGGGTTATTCGAGTTGTATTTTATAATTCGACTTGAACTTGAAATTTTTCTAGTTGAGTTTATAAAATTATAATTCGAAGTCAATTTCAGTTGATTCAAAAAATCAATTTTTTCAAGTAGAGTTAAGTTTTGCTCACCCCTAACAACAAATAAAAAACGATATTAAAAATTTAAACAAATAAAAAATAAACATGAACACTTTTAAAAATAAATAAATAAACATAAATTCAATATTATTTATTGAAACTCGGTTTATTTGCACTCTTATAATGGTCTCTACAACCTTCTTGATTCATATACGTATATGGATAGGATCTTGTTACACAATGTAAAACTCTTTTAATTTTTTACAGATTTAGTACCGTTAGATGAGTGAAACTAGATGATTGAGATTAACAGTAGGAAATGAAAAGATATTCACTGGAAAAAAAACAATAAATCAATATTTGTAATTTATTTTCTTTCATTCAACGGTCCTAAATCTGTGTAAAACTAAAGAATTTTACATTGTGTAAATGGATACTAACTCATATATATATATATATATAAAGAGAGATTTGTGTATGATTTATGGTGCTGTATGAGCCACCAGCATAGTCTATGGACCATCTCAACACCACTTAAGTTGTACCCACTAGGACCATATAAGAAAGCTTTCTTTATCCATTGGGATTTTGGATTTTGGATTTGGAATTTGGATATTATTATTTTTATTTTTATTCATAATATTTGGAATTTGAATAAAGATATTTATTATTTCAATCTGTTTCATTTATGTATATTGAAATTATATATTTGAATTATTTATCTATTTTAATTTTAGAAATTTTATTTTATTAGCGTGCTAGATTAATGTATTTAGCATATATAAACAAATGATAGATAATTCATTTTAATTGAATAATTGTTTTAGAAAAGAGAGAGTAAATTTTAATTTAGAATGTTTTACTTATATTTAGGGATGATCATAGATTGAATTAGGTTTTTGATCGATCTGAATTCGATCCGAAATTGAACTTGAATTTTAGGATAAACACATGCACCTTAAATTTGATCTAATCTAAATATGAATTTTTGAAATAAAATTCAACTTTGTAGGTCGGATTGAATTGAAAATCGTCAAATTTGAAATAAAACGGGTCAAAACTAATAGTTAACGTGTTAAGTTTTTAACGGTGAGATACTAAAATGAAATAAAAATTGAACGTGTGGGTTGATTTCGGAAAAAATTAAAAATTTAAGTATTGAAACAAACAAAAACTGATAGTTTAGGTAGTAAATGCATAATTTACCCTAAAATCTAATGTTGAATACCTAGAGTAGTTATTGGAGTTTGACTTGGTCAAAGTTTGGACAATACTCAAATCAAATAGACTCGATTTGAATTTTTAACTAGTCAAAACGAGCTACTTACTATTCGACTTGGAAAACTCGTGAGCAACTCGAAAATATAATATATTAAAATTTTAATGTTTTAAAATAAATTATTAATAATATTTATATTTATATATTGTTTTTAATGCAATATAATATTTTTATGTGTTTAAGTTTAAGTTCAAGCTTTAATCTAGTTAAGTCTGAGAATATTTTGAGTTTAAGGAGTTTTTTTAATTCGAGTTGAGTTTCAATTATTAATCCAAATTTGAGTCGAGTCTGACAATTTGGAGCTCGTGAGCTTTCAAGTCGAGCTCAGCTTTGAACATTTCAAGTCGAGTCGAACTCAGTAATACTCAAGCTCGACTCAACTCGTTTCCAACCCTAGTTGGTAGTGTGTCTTTTTTTAATAGTACATGTACTACTTAACATCTGTCAAAAAATATCTTAGTTATCGACAATGCACGCACACTATATATATAATTATTCGTATTTAAATTCTTTAAGAAACTAATAATTTTTTTACTATCGAAACCTGATAATTTCAATATGTATTTAAAAACCCTGTCTTCAATTTTGAAAAATAAAATAAAGGTAATATATGACTTTATGGAGCATAGGAATCACTTTTCTTGGAATGCATACTCAAGATGTCTCTCATGTCTTTTGACCACTCTTAATTATCATTACAATTATTATTTTTGATTAATTTTTTATTAAAGATTGTACGTATAATAATTTTGAACTCAGTCTTTTGCCAAAATATATGAAAAGCCTAAAGCTAGATATTGTCTAGTTTATATAAATCTATAAACCAATAAATAATTTCGGTTTAAAGCTAAAGCTTCTTATATATATATATTCCTTTAAAATTTTATAAATTCTACATGATAAGATCGTAGTGTGGTCAGTGGCGGATCCATAAATATTTTTCAGTGGGCACATATATGTTATCAACATAAATTTTTAGATGAGATAGGTATAAATAAAATTTCAGGGTGGGCACTGTCCATAAAATAAGTAATTAATCGAAGAAAATTTAGATTTCAGGGTAGGCAAGAAAAATTTCAGGACATACATCATCAGTAAAATAAGTAACTAATCGAGAAAAATTTGGATTTCAGGGTGGGTACGTACCCACCCTCACCAAGCTGTGACTTCACCACTGAGTGTGATACATGTTTTGTAATATTTCTAAAGATATATTAAAATTTATAAACTAAAATTAATCAAAGGATTCAAAATAATTCAATTTATTAAATTCTACACGATTAATGAGTTAGTGATAAGGTGAAAAAGGAGTAAATTGAAAGCTTTACTTTGATAGGGGAATATCTCCCTCTCATGCAACTAGTAAAGTTAAAGGTTCTCCTAACCTTATATTCTTTGCAACTCTCCACAAGCAAAGCTAATTTAGAACACAAAAAAGAAACCAACTGCTAAAAGATCAAACATAACTTTTTTCCCCTTTAATTTCTTCTTTTAGGCATGTTTTCACACGATATGCTTAAACTCGATTCGAATTATTATTTTTCCGATGAATTTAATAGCGATGGAGGAAAAAAAATAAATAGGAGTATAATGATCATTTTATAACAATTTGATAAATCTAATTATCATTTTATAACAATTCGATAAATTTAATGACTATATGTAACATCCTAATGGTCATTTTGTAGTAGTTTGATAATTTAATGATTATTTTGTAACTTTTGAAAGTTTAATGAATACGAAGATCATCTAAGCATAATCCTAACGGTTAATATATATATATATATATATGGTTAGATACACTTACACCTAGTGTAAAACTAAAAATTATATATTTTTTTAGGACCGTTGGATTGAGAAAAATCAAAGGTTGAAATTAACTTATTTTTTCGGTAAATATCTTCTCATTTCTTACCGTTAATCTCAGCTTTTGATTTTTCCTCATCTAACGATCCTAACACGGTGTAAATTT